TACACTGGAGGCTGAGGCAAGAGAATCACCTAAGCCCAAGAGCTGGAGGTTGCTGTGAGCTGTGATGCCACAGCACTCTACCAAGGGTGATGACAAAGTGAGACTCTGTCTCTAAAAAAAAAAAAAGGAGGGGGGTTTCTAGGATGTGGAGCTGAAGAGATGAAGAGATTTAGGGGTGAGTCTTCCTTCCCTGGCCTGAGTTGTGTGCTGGTTTGACCTCAGACGCTGATCACCCAACGGACATTAACCCACAACTCACTGGTGCTGGACACAGCTTTGGATACAGAGGGTACGGCAGGGGACCAAAGTCAAAAATACCAAGGCTGTGTGGAGCGCTCCTTCTCATGCAAAGAGATAAGTGTCAAGAGGCCCTGGAAGTCGGAGGGTGGTTAGCACTGCACAGCCGAGTAGCACAGAAGTGGGGATGGCCGGGCAGAGTGTGGGGCTTAAGGAACACACTTTAGGGTAAGGAGGTGGGTCTTGCAGGCTCTGTGTGAGCTGGGTGGGTGGGGGTGATGTAACCTGAGGTTTGCGGGGCAAGACGTATAAATATTTACCTGCAAGACCTAAGGGGAAATGGTGTTTGGACAAACATAAAGCTTGTCTCCCTGGCTATCGCAGAGCAGCCTTTGGACCCCAGGAATATATGTGAGACAAAATCCAAGCAGTGTCACAGGAGTCAGAAGCAGGGGACCTTCTGATGGCCATGACCGGTAAACAGTAGGACAGTGAGGTTATGTTTGCTCCATCAGCATCATCCCGCTGTCTGCACCTGTTCACCCCAGCGCTGTGATCGGGGGGGATGCTTCCACCTTGAATGTTCCCTCAAGCGTCATTCATGATGAGACACAATCACAAATGCCGCTGTGCAAAATGCTGGGAGGATTTGGGGAAAAATACAAAGCAAAACCCAGCACAACAGTAAACAGGAGAAAAAAAGAACTAAAAAAAAACCTAAAAAACAACTAAAAAAAAAAAAAACAACATGAGGAAACAACCACCAAGGAGAGAGAAAGAATTATTTTCCCGCGTCATAACACCAGATATCTTAGAGTGCGTGTTGTTTTTTTTCTGCCAGTGATGCAAAAATAAAATGAAACAAAACAAAATAAAATAAAGTAAAATAAAATAAGATGTATTATTTCTGATGAACTTAATGAAATTCTTCCCAGGGGATAGTCAGTGGCAGAACTGGACTCCTTGCAAAATAATCTCTGTGCATTTCAAAATTGGTTCTTTTTT